TTTTTTACTTTGCGTAATTGCGTACCCATTCGCTTTTGCACGTGACCTATGCATTCCTTTTTTTTAACAACTAAATTTTGATATGGATTAGAGTCAACAATTCCTTTGTAAGTCTTACTGTCTCCATCGCCTACGTAATTACCATATCGTACGTTATAAAGTGTTTCAGATCTTTGAACATTTCTACAATACTATCCACTTCCATTTTTCCAGCAGACCCATTGTGATTGGCAGAACATTTGTCTGAATGTTTATTTTCCCACTCATCATACTCCTCAGTACCTTCAAAATTTTTCCAAAATTCGCAAGTTTTACAGTATGAACATTTTACTATAAGATCAAGAACTTTTCCTGAGTAAAACGATATAAGAGTAGAAACGCCTAAAAGGGATGAGTAACCGCGTTTCATCCAAGTTCCATCCCCTGAAACGGTGAGTTCTTCTGCTTTTTCTAATTTTTTTGACTCTTCAACAGAAGTTTTCATAAACAATTCACAAATAGTTTTTGTAGCAATGTGAATGTCATTCACAACTTTATCGTAGAACGAGTGGAAAATTGGTTTAGGTAAGTCCATGATTCCACAGAATTTCTCTATTCCTGCTAAACCGATTCCAAGAAGTCTGAACGCAAAAACTAATCGTCTATTCACATCATATGCTTTACCACCGATAGGAGGACATGAGTTTATTAAAACTGGTTCACATTTAGCACAATTCACCTTTAGTTTAAAACCAAGACCACGAACAGAAGTTTCGGTAAAGTTTATATCACCGCCGCACTCTTTACACTTTACCACTTCACTTATAGCAGAAAAAACAGATACAAAATTAATTAATCGGTACCCGAAAGATGCATTTACATCAAAATTAACGGTAACACCCTACACATATATTTAGGAATCATTTGCTGATTACTCGAGAACCAAACTTATGGATTTCGATGATATAGCTCTTTAAATAGGAAAATAAGTATTCCAATAATAAGAAAATGGAACAAAGTAGTTATTTTGATATGAATCAAACAACTATTGTACAACATTTTGTACTTAGAATTGTTTGCAGAATCTGTTAACGCAGCATTGATATTTTCTTGTTACATTCGTAAATTCTCCTAAAATTCTAATGTAAATACAATAAGATTTAATGTAAATACAATCATCGATTTTGCAATACTGACATTTAGGTGGAACAAGAAGAATCGACTGGTTGCAATGATGCTGCAAGTTTCTGCGGTTTGAGAGATAGAAAATATCCTGATGCACGTGCCATGGGATATCCGTTCGATCGTCAGCCTCGTGCTGGTGTTGAAACTTTGGCTCAGTTCCTTACTGGAAATATGGCGGTAACTGAAATAACTGTTCGCTTTTCGGATAAAGTTGTACCCAGATCAAGAACCGGAGGCATGGGAAACACGTTAAACTTTAATTAATGATTTACGGACATGAGTTGAACTACTGAACTATATGAGGCATTTAGTGGCGTTTGTTTAAAAGGAGAGTCTGCATATCATGGTTGTATCTACTTACTTGTAACTTAAAAACTACTTTAAAATATAAAATAAAGCAATAAAGACTATAAATAAAATAAATTGTGTTTGCAATGTACCATCCGATAGTTTGCCGAAAAAAAAACATTTGACACCAAATTTCCAGACCAGAGGGGTACTTACATGGAAAATTCGGATTATCAAGTTTTGTACTATTTTCCCTATTTAGTGGTGTGTACAAATTTTGAAAAAAATCTAGCACATTGCATATATGAAGGCACATGTTAGGGAGTTTTTTTTCGATTCTTTCGTTGCAAATCCTAATTGTGCAAAATGAAAAATGTAAAGATGCTCATATCTTTTCGAATATTAAAGTGACTATTTTTATTTTTTTAGTAGCAGCATCTTAACATAACTATTATTCTCAAATGTGTTTAAACATTTCAACAAGGTATGCCGCAGTTAAAAAAATTAAAAACGAGATATTCGTGCGTTTCCAGTTAAACAGGATTCTCATGTATGTAATAACGATCTTATGGTATTTCGAATTTGCTTGATTGCAATCTTTTATTGATTTACCTGCAGATTTTTTGAAGAATTATTTTGGAGATGCATCAATATCTGAAGAAAATGAAAAATAAACTGAGTTCGATCACTGCCACTTTTTCATACTTGCAGACATTTTTTACAACTTTCCCATCACATTTCGGATAAATGCTTATAAAATTTTTTGTTTCTTAGGGGTACTCTCAAATGTCCTACATGAATTTTTCGTTTCTACGAGGGGCAAAAAGTGGTCTTGTTTTACATCCTCCTTTCCGATTCAGATTGAACATGGGATTGCACAAATATTGAAGAAACATTTAATATTTGTGTAATATTTTCAGCATGAGAATCTATAGAATTACACGAATTTGTATGCTTTAGTGAAGAAACATTATTTAAGATAGATGCAGAATATGTGTTATCCAGTGGAGATAGAAATAGGGATCACACTAAACAGTTGAATTTGCAATTTCTTTTATTGTTATATCACATGTATCATCCTGTACATGTTCGTTATTTAAAATCATTTTCTGTTGTTTCTATCAATTTTCTAGTTTCTTTAAATCTTTCAAGGATTCGTTCGTGCGGCGACGTTTCTACAAAATGGCGAGGATAAGAAAATTCTTTCCTCACAGGAGTTGACCCTAAGAAGAAGTTAATAAAGAAAATTATAGAACTGTAGTTTTCTTTTATATTAACTTGCACAAAATAAAATACCTGTGGGAATATCTCGTTGTATATCTTGATCAAAGAATTTATTAATTTCATGTACCGTTGCCTGCAATTGTCCAACAACTTTATCATTTAATATGCATGATTCCATTTCTTGATTTTCCAATTTTTTGGATATTTCTTCAAAAGTATCAGAAACTTCAATTTTTTTATCTTTCATGAATTCTTCATGATTTTTACATGCATCTAAAGTTACTTTATGTGTATCCTATAAAAAATAAATCTTTACATAATAAAACTAGTTTCTAATATTTCATCACCATTTAAATTTGAGACTTTTTGTAAATTTACATTAACTAATAAAAGAACTTCATTTTTATCGATATCTATTTTCGGTTCCATGTCTTTAATATTGCATTCAATAAGATCCTTGTACTCTTTCAATACATTACAGCTTCTGTTCATACTTGACTTCAATTCATTTATCAAAATTTTTCCTTGTTCTGTAGTTCTGTCAGCTAATTCTTCATTCTATTAATAAAATAAAATAGACCACATAATAGATTAATATTTAAAAATTATTCACTGAAAATAACACCAAAATTGTGTTTTCTATTCAATTAAAAAATTACCCGTTTTGTTTCAAGAATTACATCAGTTTTAATTGTTTCAATGTTACTTTGTATCTGTTCTTCTAAAGTATGTTTCACATTAACAGATGTAGTAGAATTATTTATCATGCAATCGTTAACATTATTGCAAATATTACTAACATAATCACATTTGCCAATTACAGTACAATAGTGTTCTTCCTCATTTTTGTTTAAGAAATTGAACTGGGAAAATACATCTCCCATCATCTAAAAAATAGTGGTTCAATAACTCTAAACTTATCATAAATAATATGATAGTAAAACTATATTTTTTATACCTTTGCAAATAAATGTTGTTTCTGAGTAACTTCTTGTTTTTCACGAACCACATCAATGTTTTCCACAATATTTTTACAATTTTTGATCATATGATCATAAGATTCTAGTTCATAATTACAAGCAGAATCTACCATTTTTTTTATAATACTTGAAGTTTGCATTAATTTCTGAGTTACATTGTTTCTTATGATTTGTAAGTTTTTAGCAATTGCGCCAATTTTACAGAAATGATACTTAATAATTCATGTTCAGATTCTATTGCATTCACTGAATTTTTTATTTCATCCTGCATCCAATTTTGATAATGTGAATTCTGGAATGTTTAAAAAATATCATAAATATATAAAACTACATAAAAATAAAAATATTTTTATGAAATATAATAAATACGTACAGATTTATTTATATTTTTCGTTAAATTATTAGTATCGGACAAATGTTGATTAAGAAGATTTGTCGAAATTTGATATATTGTCGTGTCAATATTTTTACATTTATCTGAAGTTTGCGCACCTGACGAGAACAATGATAATAAAAATCAGTAAATAAAATATTTATAAGAATGTTTATGGCATAATTAAGCTTTTGTTACCAAGGTCATTTTTCATAGATGTACATAATTGCTTTAATTTTTCTTTATGCATTAAAATGTCTTTTTGAATTTCTTGTAAACATTCGGAAACATTATTTTTAAACTGTTCACCTAGCATTTCAAATGATTGCTCTGTTTCACTAAAAAAAAAAGTTTCATTTTACCACATTTATGAAACGCGCATAATAACGTAGACTTTTGTCTTTGATAAATAATGTCCTTATAGTTTAAAAATGTAAAAATTAATATTTATATAATCAGAAAGATATAAATGTAATCGACAAACCTTTTCCGAGCAATTTTATCATGTAATTTATGTGAATCTGCTGTTGCTGTGTCTGCGACGCTTAGTAGTGTTTGGGCTTGGTGCAATAAAGACTGTTCTGTATTTATATACTTTTCTACTAAATATTTTTGCTCATTCCGTTCTTGTGCTATCACTTTTAATTGATTATTTGTCGATTTAAAAGCGTCAGAAGCACTATTTAATTTGTCTTTGGCTTCATGTAATTCTTTCATTTGAGCTATATTTTGTAATTCAAGTTCATTATATATTTTCTAAAAAGAGAAAAAGTTACAGAACAAAACCAAATGTAGGTACAATAACAAATAATTAATAAAATTCGAATTAAGAAGTAAATTACTTCTTTGTCTTGCATAGTTTTTTCAAGTGCTTTTATATGATTAAGTTTCTCTTCTAGTTCTTTAGTCTGTTGAGAAATTAATGCTTGCATTTCTTGATAATTGTCATTTGCAAGATAAACACCG